TGTTTAGCATGTCCAAATCTACTTGAATATTAATTTTCACGAAGGTACAGTTAATACTTGATGAGTTATTCACAATTTTCACAATGGTACTCATTTACAAATTTTATTTTTTTCCATTTTGTCACTTCAGAGCATATTTTGAGCACTTTAGTCAAAGTAAATCGACTTCTTTTATTAATTAAATGTTGTTTAGCAGGTCAAAATCTACTTGGATATTAATTTTTTCGACTTCTTTCATTAATTGAAAGTTGTTCAGCAGGTCAAAATATACTTGGATATTGATTTTTACGAAGGTACAGTTAATACTTGATGTATTATTCATGATTTTCACAATAGTACTTATTTACGAATTTTATTTTTTCTATTTTATCACTTTAGAGCGTATTTTGAGCACTTTAACCAAAGTAAATCGACTTCTTATTTTAATTGAAAGTTATTCAGCAGGTCAAAATCTACTTGGATATTAATTTTTACGGATGTATAGTCAATAATTAATGTGTTATTCACGATTTTCACAATAGTACTCATTCACGAATTTTATTTTTTTCTGTTTTATCACTTCAGAGCGTATTTTGAGCACTTTATCCAAAGTAAACAAATTTCTTATATTAATTGAAAGTTGTTTAGCATATCAAAATCTACTTGAATATTAATTTTCACGAAGGTACAGTTAATACTTGATGAGTTATTTACAATTTTCACAGAATCCCAAACATCACATATATAACTCATAAGGCAGTGACATTTATTACGTAATATTTTAGGGGGTGGGAGGGTATTTAAAGGTCATATAACATATAAGTGTAACGTAAGATTTTTCATATTACATGAGGGTGGGGGAGTATGGGCTTATAGTAAATGAATATTACGTAATAAATATCACTGCCCTAACTGATCTGCATGAATTTAGCACTTTTGCTCCTGTTAAAATAGACCTAATTTGCTAAAAATCAAATTATCACATTTTAAATCTATACTAATTTGCTAAAACTCAAAATATGAGTGTAACTTTTTAGCAAATTGGCCTAAATTTCAAAAAAAAATCACATTTTTTGTGATTATCTCAGCATCCAGTAGTCCAATTTATGCAAACTTTTTTTTATTTTGTAGCCCTCATCGAGCTCTACAAATTAAAAAAATATCTGCATAAATCGGATCACTGGATGCTGAGATAATCGCAAAAAACTGAAAATAAAAAAAATGTTGCAAAACTAATCAGACGGGTTTTGGCCTGCATTATGCTTAATTTTGGCCGGAATTATACTTAATTTTGGCCAAAATATAACCCGGACACCGAAACCAATATTTTTAAAAATATTATCAATAAAAGTTAAAAAAAAGGATAAGTTAACTTTAAAAAAAAGTACCAATTTGCTCAAATATAAAATATGACTTTGTAAAATCAACACAATTTGCTAAAACTCATAATTATAACTATTAATTAATTTTCAACCAATTTGCTCTATCTAAAATTATGAGTTTAACCTAATTTTGATTGAATTTGCTAAAACTCAAATGTGAGTTATATATGTGATGTCTGGGGTCCTATTTTCACAATGGTACTCATTCGTAAATTTTATTTTTTTCTGTTTTGTCACTTTAGAGCATATTTTGAGCACTTTAGCCAAAGTAAATCGACTTCTTATATTAATTGAAAGTTGTTTAGCATGTCAAAATCTACTTGAATATTAATTTTTACAAGGTACAGTTAATATTTGATGAGTTATTCACGATTTTCACAACAGTACTCATTTACAAATTTTATTTTTTCTATTTTGTCACTTCAGAGCGTATTTTAAGCACTTTAGCCAAAGCAAATCAACTTCATTTATTAATTGAAAATTGTTCAGCAGCTTAGAATCTACTTGAATAATTATTTTAATGAAGGTACAGTTAATATTTGTGGAATTATTAATTTTTTATAATTGTGCGTATTATATTGAATTACAAGTAAATTAATATTCTTAAATGTATTTTGTTTAAAATTTAATTATTTAAGATTAGTTTTTTATTTAATATTGCTTAATAAAATATTTTTTAAAATTTAATTCAATATTACAATATAATTTTTTATAAAAATATATATTTCATAATGTATATACAATTTTTTTATATAGTGAAAAAACTGAAAAATGTAGTTAAAAATTGGTAATACAGCTGTAAAAAGTCACAAATCAGACAAATATAGCAATCCGATTTGAATATGCAATTTAAAAATTGGCATATCCAATTTTTGTCAATTCATACTAAAAAATCAGCTACAAAAAGCTACAAATCAGACAAATATAGCCAAAAATCGGCTATCTGATTTTTTGCCAATTTTTATTTATTTGACGTAAGTTTTTCTACACTTTAAAGCATTAAACAATACTAGTATCCACTAATATATACTATCCAAAAACTCACTAATGTAAAATCACAATTATTAAAAATTCGCAAGAATTTTTGTTAATACTGTTTAATTTTAAGTTTAAAGTCTGATTGATAATACTAAATTCAAAATTCAATTATAAATCATTTTTATAAATTAGTATTAAGATTTTAATTTAAAAATTAAGCAGTATCAAGGAAAATTCTTGCGAATTTTTCTTAATACTGCTTAATTCTAATTTAACTAATTTAGTATTATTAAGGCTTTAGTTTAAAAATTAAGCAGTATCAAGGAAAATTC